CTATAACCTCCTATTCTGTGATACCCCCTCCTCCCCGACAGGCAATCACTAATTTGCTTTCTGTGTCCATGGGTTCGCCTATTCTGGGCCTTTGTGTGACTAGGAATCATAATATGTAAGCTTTTGTAATTGGCTTCTTAGCATAATAAGGTTTATTTAAGTTGTAGCATGTATTAGTATTTTTTTAAATTGCCAAATAATATCCCTTTGTGTGGATATATGCCATTTTGTTTGTCTATTCATTGTCCAGTGGGTATCGAGCATTTGGATTGTTTTCACCCTTTGGCTGTTGTGAATGTGCTGCTCTTAAAATTCCTGTACAAGTATTTGTCTGACTACCTGTTTTTAGTTCTTTGGGGTATGTTCCTAGTTGTGGAATTTCAGGGTCATAGCATTAACTCTGTTGAATCGTTTCAGAACTGCCAGACTGCCCTCCCAAGCAGCTGCGCTGTTTTACATTCCCACTACCTGTGTCTGAGGGTTCAGATTTCTCTGCATTCTCATTGACACTTATTCTCTGGCCATCCTGGTGGGCGTGAAGTGGTATTTCAATGTGATTTTGATTTACATTTCCCCAGTGACCAAAAATATCCAGTATCTTTTCTTGTGCTTATTGGACATTTTGTTTTTGGAAAGACCTATTCAAGTCCTTTGCTCATTTTGAAATTAGATTATTTGTCTTTTTTATTACTGAGTTGTAGGAACTCTTTATACTAGATAAAAGTGCCTTATCAGATATATTATTTCCAAAAATTTTCTCCCCATTCTGTGAGTTGTCTTTTTACTTTCTTGATGGTGACTTTGAAGCACAAAGGTTTTTAATTTTGATGCAATCCATTTTGTATACTTTTTATTTTTGTTGCTTGTGTTTTTGGTGTCATATCAAAGAATCCTTTGCCAGATCCAAGGTCATGAAGATTTACTCCTGTATTTTCTTCTAAGAGTTTTAAAATTTTAGCTCTTAGAGTTATATCTTTGATCCATTTTGGGTTAATTATTTTATATTATGTGAGGTCAGGGTCCAGCCTTTTTTTTTAAATCATGCATTTATTAATGAAAATATGATAACACATTTACAGAAGACTTGGAAAATACAGAACAAAGTTACATATAGTTCTGCTTCCAGCTTCTTTTGTGTCTATCCTGCGATCCCAGCACCATTTGTTGAGAAAAAGTCTTATTCCCCACATTGAATCATCTTGGCACCCTTGTTGAAATCGCTTGATCAAAGATGTAGGAAGAACTTTCAGTTCTATTCCATTAACTTACATATCTGTCCTTGTTCTGATTTTGTCAGATACATTTTCTGTGAGATGGTCATGTGGTTTTTGCTTTTTATTTGATTGACACGTTACATTAATTGATTTTCAGATGTCACACCAACCTTGCATTGTGGGAAAAGTCCCACTTGTTCATGGTGTAGAAGAATCCTTTTCACATGTTGCTAGATTTTGTCTGCTAGTATTCTGTTTAGGATTTTTGCATCCATATTTATAGAAGATATTAGTCTAGTTTTCTGGGGATGTTTTCATCTGATTTTGGTATCAAGAGTAATACTGGCCTCATAAAATTAGTTTGGAAGTAATTGGTGAAGAACTAGTATTGATTCTTTAACATTTGATAGACTTCAGCAGTGAAGTCACCTGGACCCGGTATGTCAAATATCGTTTTTAATTCTTATTATAAGGTATCCTCCTCTTTCATAGATGAGGAAACCGAGGCTCAGAAAGGTTAGTGGCAGAAGTGGAACTTAAATCCGGATTACCTTATGTCAAATACTAGGATGACAAAAACAGCTGGTTTACTGTGTACTTAGTTATGTGTTTCTAACTGTATAGGGTACTTTAATAAAATACTCTCCTGCTACAGTCCCATTAGTAAGTGCTCGTTTAATGGTCACTTCAACTTTGTATGTATTGTGCCCATTTCCAGGCAGAGAACCTGACCCTGAAGGAGATCATGACTTGCCCTACTGAACCAGGGCCAGGAAGTAAACGGTGTGCTTCGCACTCACAAAGCTGCCCGATCCGCCAGCCCACCCTGTTCGGCGCTCTCCTCTATTGTGTGTGGTGTGAGCAGCCGTGCCACATGCGGGCAGCTGAGCCCAGATGCGGCTCGACCTCGGATGTGGGTGGCCTGGCCCAGACCGCGCAGCATGGCCAGAGCCCTGGTCTTCCCCCTCTCTGCTCTGTCGCTAGCCCTCTGCTCCATGGTGGTAGCAAAAGAGCCTCTCACTCTGATTTCTTGTACTTGGGATGGAAATTTGTGTAACATATGTCACTCTGTAACACAGAAGTGACTTTTAAAGGTATTATAGTGCATCAGACAGCCAGCAGCTTTGTGAGATGTTTCCCAGTGAAGACATTCAAAGCATATTTATATTAATATCCATATTGTTGGTGAGATTAGATGGTATCCTGGCCTGTTTGAGCGAAGAGGAAAAACTGTCTCCATTTTTCAAGTTAGAGGGCTTCCTCACATGTCTGTTCACACTGACTGAATGGTGGCCCCCAAAGCTGACCCAGTGCCCGTGTGGGTGGAGGGGCTGGGTGGGTGGAGGACTTCCCAGACGGCGGTGAAGGCTGACCTGGCGGGCCGAGCGAGCGCTGTCTCAGCCTGGCAGCCAGTGTTTGGGAACTGCTGGGACACTGGGGCTGGAGCCTCCACTGTCGGGACCCAGGCTGTCTGGGTGGCACCTGCTGGCACCTCTGCTCCCGTGTCCTGTGTTGCCCTGTCCGGGGCCCCCGTGTGGTTTCTGGGGCGGGTGGGGGTAGCCCCTGACTCTGCCACACGGGAGGAGCAGAGCTGGGTGTCTGGCTGCTCCTAACTAGGCTGTCGGTCAGTTTTCCCTGCAGCCCCCCTCCCACATCAGCTTCCCTTCTGAGCGCTGGGCCTGGTGTCCTTCCGTGAGCTGCTCCCCCGAGACTCCGCTATGGGGAGAGCGCTCACTTGTCAGCCCCACGGCTCGTGGCCCCGTTCGCTCTCTGGGCCCCTTTCCAGTGTCCTTGCTTCTCTTACAGCGTTTAGACCTGGGTTTACTCCTTTACTGTCGTTTTATTAGGACTCCTGGAAGGAGTGGAGAGAAATGCCATTTGTGAATTTCTTTTGTAAATTACCTCATCGTGTCCTTTGTGTGATTTCTCATTGGGATTTTCATGTTTGAAATCTGTAAAATCGTTACTTAAGCGGGATCAACTCTTTGGCACACGGTGCAGTTCTCCCTTCCTCTTCGTTAACTGCACTTCTGAAACGCCTACTGGAAGGTCATGGCGGGGATTCCAGCTTCTGTGACTTGTGTAGGTGGTCGGGGAGGGAAGTGGACCCTGAGACCAGCTGACTGTACGTTGGTTTTTGTATGGATGTGCTTTTCTTTAGGTTTCACCACCTTGTGGAAGCTGTCTTATCTTCTCCAGCTTGAGATGAATTCATTCTATTGCACGGATAGAGGGTCCCAGCCAAGTGGGAGGAAATAATTTGCTGTCTCCTCACTGAAGGCTTTGGGCATCTGCTCTTCCCAGTCAGCTGGGAAGGTCTGGCAGCAGCTGCGCTGAGGAACACGGGTGCTCACCAGCCTGCCAAGGCTTTGTTGCCTCAGCCCAGCCACATGCCCTGGGCTTCTGCACTTAGCAGTGGGCCCAGAGCCATGAGGAAGGGAATTCAAGGGTGGGGGCTGGTGGTAATTAGCGGCCACCCCACGTGTGTCCTATTTGGCACGAGTGGACAGGTATTATTTGCCCTCCTCTGTCTTTGGGGACAGGGGGACTTGTTTTCAGTTGAGTTGTGAAGGTTTGCCTGTGTTCCATGTCTCTTGTGTTTTCCGGGGGCTCCTTCCTCCCTGGCCAACATGAATGGAATGTCCTGTGTTAGCGGACAGGAAAATGACGCTGCGGAGCAGCCCAGGAGACCTCAGTCAGGTGGGGCCTGCTGCTCCTAAAGCCTGAACGCTTCCAGTGTTGGACAACCCAGTGGAATTTGGGGTCTGAGATGACCCGTGAGGAAGCCAGGAACACCAGCTGGGTGTCACTTCCTGTCCCCAGGTGCTCTGGGTTACTTGGGAGGTGGCTGTGGGGAGCGATCAGCTCTGACAGACTGGTTTCCTTTCCCCTCCCTGAGTTTTTCTTTTCCTGTGCTCACTGCTGCTGCTGTGGTTACCCCAGGCCTTTCTCCATCACAGCAGCTTCTTAGCCTGGCCCCTTTCTGCCTGATCAATCCAGTGTGCCAGCGGCACCCCTCTTGTCATCCAATTCATTCCACTTTTCATGAAAACTTTGGCCTCGCTTTTTCTCTTCCTCACCCTGGCTTTGGCCCCATGATAGCAGAAGTAGTCAGACTCCAGGTAACAGTCAGCACCAGATTTGTGATTCTCAGTTGCTCTGATTGTTCTGCTTGTGTTGGAAGCCTCTTGAAGGCAAGGGCGGTTTGTTTGTGTTGAATATCTGCACTGCTCGTAGCTGGTCTTGTGGAAACACTCGTGAGCAGACGCTTCTCTCAGATGGCAGAGTGCTGATGTCTGGGGAAAATGCTTAAAAATGGAAAAGTTACCTTGGCAGACTGAGGGAAAAGCCACAGTATCATAATTTGGGGAAGGTTCCTCAACTTCAGATCAACCAAATGACTTCACTTTGGTGTTTTTCTTATCTATAAAGGGGCGGGGGTCATAGTGGATTGTCTTTCCATTCCCACCCAGCCCTAAAAGGCTAATTTCCCTCATTCTTTACCTTGATCTTTCTCTTAAAATTAAAACTAATGAGCTGTTTCTGGATCTCGAATTTGGAATTTTTCATTTCTTTGTAATTCTTTCCCTGACGCATTTCGCAGTTTTCTCTGAGTACGTGCTGCTAAAGGAAATTTGGATTTGCCATTTGGCCACCGTTTAGGAGAGCAGACAAAATGCTATACTGTTCTGTTTTTTTTTTCCCGCCTGACTTGTAGCTCTTCTTTTGTAAAAGTAAACTTTCTCTCAGGGGCATGATTTTAACTTACTTTTTGTCCTCCCGCAGACACGATGAGGCGAGTGGTACGACAGAGCAAGTTTCGGCATGTATTTGGGCAAGCAGTGAAAAATGACCAGTGTTACGATGACATCCGGGTTTCTCGAGTGACCTGGGACAGTTCCTTTTGCGCTGTCAATCCCAGATTCGTTGCCATAATCATAGAAGCGAGCGGGGGAGGAGCGTTCCTTGTACTCCCTTTGCACAAGGTAAGTCATCTGACTTTCCATCCTGTGAGATGACACACTCCAGTAATCTCTGTTTAGCCTGTAATGGATTGATTTTGGAGATTGATAGTTCACTAAGCATTGTGTGATTTCTGGGACCATTGGACTCTGATGTAATTGAAGTTAAGTTCCACACGCTTTACTAACCACATCAGTTTTTCTCTGACAGAGAATCAGTAAACAGAATGGTGAACTCTGTTCTGGACGTGCCCTCTATGGATAGGAAAGATTCTTAGAGTGATGCTGTGAGTGTGGACAGGCACAGGAACTTAATGATTTGGTTAGTAATCATCTGCTTGCCTTAAAAGATTCCCAAAGTGCAACTTTAAAAGCAGTTATGTTTTTAAATGGGCAGAAATTGTAAAAGATTTATAAGAAACTCTTGTGTATGTGTGTGTGTGTGTGAGTGATCATGAGGACTGAGACTTCTTGGTTTTGTTTTGTTTTTGAATGGTAAGTGGGATGAGAGCCCAAGAAAATGTCCCCAAACAATGCAGATTGCAAGTTGTGCCTTAGTAAGTTTCAGCATAGGATCTAAACAGCGTTCACAAGTGGTAGAAATAAAGGCTCTCTACTGAAAGTGGTTCCATGTGATTTTCAGCCTTGCTGGGCTTCTTAGTTCTACCTTCTCCTGACTTCATCCTTCCAGAGAACCCTCTCCAATATGGGGGAGCAGATAGGCGGTAACTTTCTGACTGTTCTTGAAAATTGCAGATGAGAGTCTGTGTAAGCTTTAACAGGAAATCCCAGAATTGCAAATAATGGGGGTGGGCGGGCGGGAAAAACTGTGAGGGGGGAGCCTGGAAAGAGTCATTTTCTGATTAGCTTTTGGGAGGAAAATAGGTTTGGTGAGTCCTGAGCCCTCGTGATAAGGACGCAGAGGCTGGGTCACGTCACAGCTGTTTCCACTCTGCTGGGAACAGTGGGTCTCCAGGATCCCGAGCCATGCCTGTTAGGGGCCTGTCTCCTCATGATGGGCCGTGTGATTCTGAAATGGTTACAGTCCATGAATTTCTGTCAAAGTTTGTTTCCCATTGTATTTTGGTGTTTTTTTCTTAGGAAGACTCTTGCTGGGAAAGCTTCCAGTTTTCTTGGACTTTTCATTCTCTCAGATGCTCGTGACTAAACTTGTTTTATTTTAGCATCTGATCTGCACCTCGGTGACTGGATTGATGTGGTATTATACAACAGAACCATCTCACTACAGAAACAGGAGATGGATGCCTTTGGGGAACAAATCTGATATGTGTCTCCAAACGTACTTTCTTATTGGCAAAGTTGCCTATCATTTTTTAAAGGAGACTCTTTTCATTAAATTGAAATTAAATTTTGTACTCAGATACATTTGCTTTTGTGGAGAAAACATCTGCTTTGGTGGTGAATAATACATTCAGTTCAGTTCAGCCGCTCAGTCGTGTCCAGGTCTTTGCAACCCCATCGACTGTAGCACCTCAGGCTTCCCTGTCCATCGCCAACTCCCGGAGCGTGCTCAAACTCGTGTCCATTGAGTCGGCGATGCCGTCCATCTCATCCTCTGTCACCCCTTCTCCTTCCGCCTTCAGTCTTTCCCAGCAGAATAATACATTACACTGTTACAACTGTACTTAACCTGATTTTGTAGTGGGATTTGGAATCTCATGCCAGTTTTGCATTTGATCACCACGACTTTTTAGTTTATTTGTCCATCAAGAGCAAGGAGCACTTGAAAACTTGACTTTCAGTGGTGTCTTAACGGTGGCTAGCTGAGAAGATACCTCAGCTTGTTGACCAAGATCAGGCTCTGAGGCACTGTTATCTCTCTTGAGTTTAAGAGCATAAATTTAAGACTTTGGGGTTTGTTTTTTTTTTTTTTGCTTCAAAGAAATGGAACAAGCCAATTAAACCCAAAATAAACTTCTGAGTGGCTAATCTTCCTCCGAATTCAGACATCTCTCTTTAAGTCCCACATCCACAGAAGGCTTTGTGAGTCCACCTTCGCTTTCACAACCATGGGAAGCTTAGGGTTCTGCTTATACCATGTAAGGGAGACTTGTTTGCAGGTCCAAAGCTGACTGGATCATGTGCTTTGGTTTTTAACATGAAGTGATCAGTACCTAATAAGTAGATTTTAGCATTTTGTTCTTTAAGCAACTGTGTAGGAATTAGGATAGAATAAGTTGCTTCAGAAATTATCATGTTTGAGCAAAGTGGTGGTTTTGGAGGAGCCTCCAGGGCCTATCTTTCCCAGGCTTATAATAGCATTCTGTGTGGCTTTGCTCCTTAAATATTAATTTGTGTTAGAGGAGGTGACATTGGTATGAACTAACCCCAGTGACACCCATTGGAAATAAAGCCAGTACTTGGGGTTATCAAATTTTATAATCAGTGGGTTCACACATACTCTGGGATTTTTGTGTATTAAAGAGTGTGTGTTGCGCCCTTAGGATCAGTGTGGTGTTGAGGAAGGAACACAGGCCTGGGAGTCGGGGAGCCAGGGGCTCAGTGCTGGCTCGGTCACTGACTTCTGGTGGAGCGTGGATTCCTCACTGTGTCCTTCTGCTCTCCCATTTCTGTATCTGGAACGTGAAAGGCTCTGTAATATATGAAAGTGATTTTCTGCTTTGGCAGTTCCAGATGATCTTGTAAGTATTTCTCATCTCCCATGGCACTCAGTGTTAATATAATTTCTCATTTTGCTACCCAGAATTCAGCAAGGGAAATGCTGCTGTTCCTTTTTTTCCCTCCTTAGTGCCAACACATAACTTTGCGAAGTAGATGCCTGTTTACTTCTGGTTGCTTTTCCACCAAGGGCAAGGCTGAGCCAAGCAAAGAAAAGTAATCCGTGGCCCCTGTAGACAGTCCTGTGTCTCAGGAGCTCTTGAAAGGCTCTGCTAGGATGGCAGGGCCTAGCCCAGAGCCCTGGAGTGTCAGGTAACACTCCCCTTTCTTTTCTTCCTAAGACCCTGTCCCTTAACTACTTACTACCTGTGCTTTTAGAAAATAGAACTGTGTTCCACGTTGTCAGGAAACCTACATTTCTGCCTGCTTTGTGGGGCCGACTGCCCCAGGATAACTATTTCCTTTTAATTTTGGTTTAATAGTATATATTTGAATGAGGATCATAAGTTTTACGTTTTCACAGGTGACAGTTCATTGTTAGATGTGCACATGTGATCAGTTGGTTTGATCATCTATAATCTCTGTCCTCCAGGAGTGCTGTGTCTGCCTTTCATTGTGGTCAGTTTCCTGACACCCTCCCCCCCACCCCCCGAAGATTGCTGGTACTGAGAAGTTTGTCTCCCCTTTAGAAGTGCAGCCTTGAAGGAGGAAAACACTGGGGACCTTGAATGCATGTTGAACCCTTGATCCTGAACAGGATTCTGCCCTGGAAAAGAGATCCTGCAACTTCAGTGTCTTGGCAACTTTGAAATAGTTTTATAATGAGGGAAAGGAAAACCAGATTCCCGCATGTAATATGAAGTGATGCTTGAAATGAAGGTTGCAGGAAATGATGCTCTGGGTGTGTGTTGGACTCCTGTGTGTGAAGATGGCAGTCTAGGATTTCTCTAAACATGAACTTAAGGAGATGCGTATGGTTTTAAATAAATATCTCAGAGATTTCTGGTAATGTGCGTCGCCCCCTGCTCCCCACCCCCCACGTCTTCACCCCCATGCCCTCTGCCACTACAGTTTTTACCCCTGGTTATAGTCAGCCAGGCTGGTTTTGGTGGTGCTTTGGGGTTTTCTGTCCATATTTTTTTTTCTGTCCATATTAATATTGAATATGTGTGTATTGATCTTAAGATGTATTGTGACTCTGAAAGGCTCCCCATTTTAAAACATGGCCCCTGTAAGTTTCTCTTCAAAGTTAGTGTCAGCAGTAAATAGGACTTATTGTTGCAGCCTCATGAGGCTTGTGGTTGAGGAGAATCATGGTCTCTCTCTTTCAGGACTTAGAATTAAAAATGGAAAGAGTATTAGAGACAAATACATTGACATGTACACAGCAAGATGTAAGCTTCGGAATGAATATGTTTATTTAAGTGTATTGGTTTATGAGGTTTTTATCCAGAAGATTTTATAGGATTTTAAGGGGTCACTGCTGGGGGAATGTGGAAAGTACTGAGCCCTGAGGTGGGGCAATTTAGATTAGCACGCATGATTCAGGGTTTCTTCCATAATGCTTCCATCAAGCTGCAGCATGCTGTCCTGTCATGACTTCTCAAGGTGTGGCCTAGTACATTTTCTTAGTCTTTGGTCTTTCAGAGGATGAATAATAGCAGTCTTGCTGAACAAAAGTCGGCTCTGTGGTTTTGGCCGTGGAGGTTTTTGCCCACAACTGCACAAGCTGCCATGTCAGAAGCATACAGGTTTCGGCCCCCTATGCGCTCCGCCACGTGGGCCTGAGCAAGCCTTCCCGAGTGGGAGCCACGCTCATGACGTGGGACCGAGGCACTCCCATCCCTGCTGTGAGCCACCGTGGCTCACACGAACACAGTGTTTGTGGGTAGGTGTGTGCGTGCACGTGTGTACACACGCATACTAAAGCTGCCGATCACAGGGAACCTAGAAACCCTAACCTAAACAGGGGTTGAGGAAGTTGGTTCGAATTCTTTGCTCGCGATCTCTTATCCACTCGGGTGTAGGATGCAAATTGGAAGGCTCCTGTCTTCCTTCCTCCCTTGACGGTTCTTACTTCAGAGGATTGAAGTGATCGCTGATTTCTTCTTCCCAGTAATTGCATTGGAGAGCAGGTGTGCCCTCGGCCACGATGGGGTGGATGTGGCTAAGTCTTTGTTAACCTTCTGGGTCTCCGTTTCCTCTCTCTTCTTGCTCCCCTGGTGTAGCTGTGTGCTGCCTTCTTATACATCGTTGGGTTTCTCCCATATATTTTGTGGGAATATTTGGGATCTTGCTTTATTTATGTCCGTGAACTATCTTTTCAACTCATTTGTAGCCCTTTACAACTAAAGTTTTGTGAAATAATTCAGCCCTACAGAAAT